ATGGCGTTGTACATCTACAAAGGCTCTTCACTTTAATGCCCGTTTGCTGGAATAACTTTTCTTTGAGCTCTGCAGGACAGCTCTGACTTCCCATGGGACACTAAAAACTTGATCACGTGCAAAAGAAACAAAGTGTCAATGCCTCACACTAAAGAGATGGATTGATGGTGGTTGCTTTTGTTCTATTTAAAATAGCCTCTGCACACAACTGTATGTCTGGGAAGCTGCTGGAGCATCATTTTGATAGATACATGTGACGTTTTATCTTTGCAAGAATGTTATATCATAAATTAAGCTTGAGCTGGACTTTCTTTTTATTTCTCCACGTTGTTCCAGGTACCTGCTGATACCTCCCATAACTGCTAACAGTTCTCTGGGTTGAAAACAGCTACAGAGCCTATCAGAAGCTGTGAGAAGAAAGGGAATCCATACTGGAAGGCAAAATCTGAATCTTTCCAACTCTGCAGCAGCTCTGATCCAAATCTCAATTTCCTGCCCAAGGATTAGTTTGTTCTTTTCTGCATAAAGTACTATTGTAAGGGTGCCCAGAACATAAAGGTATAACTTTTCACTTAAAAAAAATAAAATATACAAGCCTCCTTATCAGCTGCAGTTAGCCAGTATGTGTATCCTTAAACTGAAAGGGAGCATCTTCCAGCTGGACGGTGGCCTGTGATGATGGAGTGTTACTTCTGTGCTAGCTTGCACTGCTGTCTGCTTCAAAGGTTTTTCTGAGCAAAATTTTATTGGCTTGATGTGTAGGAAAAATAGGGACAACGTATTAACAAAACAATTCCTGTATCAGTACAACCTGTCTCTCCACAGGAAGGTTTTCTGAGTAAAGCTCTGGTGCTTTCTCTCCAGGATGTACAGCTGTGTTTCCCCTATGAGCCATCAAGAATGAAACATCCATCTAAAATCTTTAAATTATTATTCTGGAACAAAAATGTTTCAGAGAGAGGGTGAGCCTAATCTGTATCCCTGGAAGGTACAGCCACCTCAGGTTGCTGTGCATGTAACGGATCCAACCAAGTAATGGCTTTTCACCTCTGCTGCTCTCCTTGCAAGGCAATTCCACAACTCCCTTGCTGTGATGGTTACACACCTCATTCATGGCCAATTTAGGCCCATTTGGGACCTTGACAGGCAGGCCCATGCAAACCCCATGAAGTTCAACAAGGCCAAGTGCAAGGTCCTGCACATGGGTCAGGGCAATCCCAAGCACAAATACAGGCTGGGCAGAGAATGGATTAAGAGCAGCCCTGAGGAGGAGGACTTGGGGGTATTGGTTGATGAGAAGCTCAACGTGACCTGGCAATGTGCACTTGCAGCCCAGAAAGCCAACCGTACCCTAGGCTGCATCAAAAGAAGCGTGACCAGCAGGTCAAGGGAGGTGATGCTCCCCCTCTACTCCGCTCTTGTGAGACCCGACATGGAGTACTGCATCCAGCTCTGGGCCCGCAACATAAGAAGGACATGGACTTCTTGGAGTGAGTCCAGAGGAGGGCCATGAAGATGATCAGAGGGCTGGAGCTCCTCTCCTATGAAGACAGGCTGAGAGAGTTGGGGTTGTTCAGCCTGGAGAAGAGAAGGCTCCGGGGAGACCTTATTGCAGCCTTCCAGTACCTGAAGCGGGCCTACAAGAAAGATGGGGAGGGACTTTTTACAAGGGTGTGTAGTGATAGAACAAGGGATTAAGGCTTTAAACTGGAAGAGGGAAGATTTAGATCAGGTATAGGGAAGAAATTCTTCACTATGAGGGTGGTGAGGCACTGGAACAAGTTGCCCAGAGAAGCTGTGGATGCCCCCTCCCTGGAAGTGTTCAAGGCCAGGTTGGATGGGGCATTGAGCAACCTGGTCTAGTGGAAGGTGTCCCTGCCCATGGCAGGGGGGCTGGAACTAGATGATCTTTAAGGTCCCTTCCAACCCAAACCATTCTGTGATTCTATGATTAGTTATTGCAAGCATTGACCTTTATCAATACATTAAGAGGGGAAAGAATGCTTGAAACTAGACAGCAGTCAAATTTTTCCCTTTGTTCTCATGTAAAGAAGTGAAGTCCTTTTAGTTTCTTGTCATACTATGGGTTAACTATGCCTGTGATCATCCCTCAAGTCCTTTTCTGGACCTCTTCAGGGTTGGGGAGTCTGTTTGGCCAGAGCTGTACAGAAGGGATCTCGTGTGGGTCTGGTACCAGGGCTTATGTCTGCCTTCCCTTGTAATGCAGACTATGACTGCATTTTTCTTTTTGCACTGGTGTCACACGATTGTCCTGCTAAAGTCTCATATACTTGCGTCTTCTTCCTCTGTTCTTAGTAAATGACGAGCTCCCAGATTAAATACAAATGGATTATCTCTGTATAAATGCCTGTGTGCTTTTGGGCTGTTCGGTTTCACCAAGATCGTACAGCAAAACCAAGTCTGCTTGTGCTTCCCTAAGGATTTCTGTCCCCTGGAATTTGGAGAAGGCACTTCTGCAGGACCCGACTCTCCCTGCTTACCCTGTGGTCGACCCTTTTCTCTTGGCTGGGTTTTATGACTCTGTTCTTTTGATCCTGAAGTTCCTGGCCAGTTGAAGTAAGTTTTGCATCTGACAGAAATAACACTGAAGAACCTTTAAGCTGGCCCTCGTGCCGTTACCTTCTGTTTGTGAGAGGCAAGTTGCTTAGACCTGTTGTGTTGCTCTCTTGCTCTTTCCTTCACACAGGCCCCTGATTTATTTAGATTAGTACACACATAAAGGAAATGTTAACATAACCACTGCTATAAATTACTTTGTCCAGACGCCAGCAGTTAGAGAACTCACCCCACTGCTGTTTACTGCCCTACTATCGCTGGCTCCTGCCCATGTTTAACTCTTGGTGACTTGACAAAAGCAAGTTGCTTTCTCCCTCCCCTGGACCTGCCCGCTCTAAAGAATTTGCTGTGGCTACTCATTCCCTTGCTTGTCCTGGAAGTTTCTAGAGGAGAGAATATCTGCATATTTTATGTTTGAAGCTGGAGACCTCTTCTCTCTCTTGGTCTCTGTGAGATAAAATTAAAGAAGCAAAGGATGAAAACCTGCTTTTCCTCACTGAAGGTCACTGCTATCAGATCCTTGCATCGCTGATGCAGTACAATGGCAGGGGCACTGGGTTGTCCTTACACGGGAGCTCTGTGGCTTTTCATTGTGCGTTTATAAATTAAGGTGATGATGTTGGGCCCAGAATCCTTTTTACTCTTTGTGCAACATAATTCCGAGGAAACTTTTCCCTCTCCTGCAACCCTGGTTATGAGTAGTATTTTCTTTTCAGTGCAGTGTGTGGAATGGTCACTACAGCATTAATACTTCTCTTCTGCAATGCAGGGTTGTATTCAAGAGCTGGGGCTCAGGTGAGATGGAGGCATCTCTGCTGCTCTCCCCTGTTCCCCATCCTCTCCCTTAATGTCACTCTAAGATGGGATTTGCTGCTCCTTGGGACACGTCTTGTCTGGGACCAAAAGGCCAGTCAAAGCCAGGGTGAGAGAAAGTAACAAAGCACTGAGGTTGCTGACTCCCTCTATTTAGTGATCAATAGTGGCTTTTATCGGGGACCTGCATCTCTAATTTTCCTAGTACCAAATGCAGCCTGTGAGCTTAAGGCAAGCAGTCTGCGTTTCCTCTACTCAAGATGCTTTGCAAGTGCCTGTGACCATATAAAGCTCAGTGGGTCTGTGTCCAGAGCTGTGATCTAGCCTATGGCACATCCCAGTTTTCTAATCTCTGGGAAGGAGAAAGTTCTGTGTGTCTGCAGTGTGTCGCTTCTGAATAACTGCATTGGGAAGGGCTGACTTTTGGCAATTATAGCATCAACATCGATATGCATAGGATGGCATGGGTCAAAACAGGAGCAGATACCTCAGAGCATGTATATGTCTGCATAGGTTATACGATACCCCAGAACTCCAGATGCTTTAACAGGCACAATGCAGGCAGTTCTTCCCCGAATCCTAATCCTAGAAGAAAGGCAGGATGCAGGAAAAAACAATATGATGCTAATGTGCTTTCCTGTGGCCGTCACAAAAGACGGGATCTTTTGGAGGACTGTTTGTGCAGGGAGGAAGGGTTTCCAGAGAGGAACAAGGATTTAGGGAACTAGAATAAAAAGCTTGTTTCAGGAGTACTAAATAGGAGATAAACGGAGACTCACCTGAGCTGTGTGACTATTCCTCTGTCTCTGTGCTGTGGCCAAGAAGGAGCTGGTACCTAAGAGGCAGGGCAGAGGCTGTGCTTGCCATATCAAGAAGTAGCAAGGCATGGAGGCAGGCAGAATTTTGATCCTCTAACTTTGATCAGCAATGGCCCTTTAAGGCTGAGCAAGGCATGCAGCGTGGACACTGCCCAGTCCAGACCCGCAGCCACGTGAACTGTACCCGGGTGGGCAGTGCCAGGCTGGCACAGAAAAAGCCTCCCGATGGCAGAGGGAATCTGATTGAACTTGCTGGCTCCCACCCACTCTGCTCCCCTTTTCCTTAGGACAAATGAGAAGAACCCGTCTCCAAGCGCAAGATTTTGGGGTTATGTGTCAGAGTAAGAGATGCCTGACAGTAAAATGTCCATCTTGCCCTGATTTCAGGCTGGAGTGCTGCAATGCTGAGTGAAATAACCTTCTAAGCTGGCTCTGGTGCAGAGGTATTTTGGCTTATGTTATTGCTGGGAGCTTTCTCTCTGATGAGCTCTTTCTGTCTCTCTGTGTTCCTGATCTCTGGCTCTCGTCACTCTTTTTTTTCCTTGGGCTGGGATGTGTGCTGTCTGTAATGCATCAGGAAGTAATACGCAATGAGGAAACTCTCATCATCTGTGCATCAGGGAGAAAATTATTGACTGAGTGCTGAGCAGTCAAGTTATTGATTCAAACCATAGCCCAGTCTCTCCGTCTGCCGCTTGGAGTGGCTGGTTACGTCCTTCTGGTTCATTGCATTTAATCAGATTCCCCGAGCCGCCGCGCAGAGGGGGAGAGTTAGAACCAGATCCATCTATAATGTTTGCTTCAAAATCCAGTTCCATATCCCCTTCTCCGTCCATGGAGCAGGCAGATTCAGATGCTCTGGACATCAGCACTAAAGTGCAGCTGTACGGCGTGCTCTGGAAGAGACCCTTCGGGAGGCAGTCGGCCAAATGGTCCAGGAGGTAAGCCACAGGCGCTGGGGGACGCTCAAGTGAAATACGAAGCCTAAGGGTGCTGGGGTAAGTTAGAGCCTGCACACTTGGCTCCTCAAGAGCACCTAGCCAGGCGGTTTCACTAGGGGTGAAACTTTGGGCATAGCTTCCCTGCTCTTCTGAGTCTGCCTTACACACGTGGCACCCCGTTGTGCTTTCTTCTTTATCCGCCCAGACCCTGTGCTATGTGCACTTCAGGGTGGGAGTAGGGACTAGCTGCCTCCTCTGGATTATTATCCTATGACCATTTCATGAAAGAGGAAGAGTCAGCTCTCATATTTTTGCCCCCAAACTGCTTGACTTTGTTCATTAGCACTTGTTAAAGCTCTTTGAGTCCTTTGGGTGTGAGATGGCTAGGCTGAACTGACTGCATGTGGGACCGTGTGTGTATGGTCTGCAGGGGTTTGTGGACCAGCATCAGTACCGCTGTGCTGCGTGATGGTGATGGCACGCTTGGAACAGCAAATGCAGACTTTCTTCCCTGGGGGGGCAAGGTGGCTCTGAATTCTCTCCCATCTGGTGCTAGGGAGTTGGAAGCTGCTCTGTGTTGTGTATCAGCAGCCAGGAAGTTTGGAGCTGGAAAGCATTTGCTATAACCTTTTCCCAAGGATGGAAGTATGTTCTATAATACTGAAGTGATGGGTCAGTTTGAGGTTTAAAGTTGGTGTAGTTTCTTTATGCGAATCACTGAATCTCGCAGGGGAGTTTTCCGCTGGTTGTCAAATGATGAGACACGGCGGTGTATGGATGGGTACTCGCACAGAAACATGGTACAGCTCTTTCTCATTGCTCACTGGGGGTACATGATCCAATGGATTAAGCCTTCCAGCATTCCTGGATGGCAGATTAATGTCACTGCTGATAGACGTCATTGGCAAATGATTCAGTTAGAAGACCAGCAGCTGAGAAACTTGCATTTTCACCCTATCACTGCCAGAGATACATTTTGTGACCCAGGATTTGTTGTCATGATCTATTAAAGCAGGATAGGAGTACTTACCCACCTTTAGTAGTTTTATATCTGCAGATGAAAAAGTCTGCCAGGAAAGCAAAGCAATGTTGTTTTCTCCCCCCCCCCCCCCCTTTCCCCCGTTCTCCCCCCCTCCCTCCCCCCCCCCCCTTTTTTTTTTTGTAAATGCTCTTTTCATACCTTTTTCACAACTCTCTATCTCTCTATTTTCTCAGAATATCCCTTCGAATCTCAATCATTTTTTGCACTTGAAATACAAATATTTTCCCAGATATACATCCATTTCTAAACAGCATATATTGCAACTAAATATTAGGCCAAGATAGTTCAGATTGATCCATTCTAATGTCTATTTAAGTGTTGTATTAATTCTGTGCTATCAGACAGTAGTAATTTTGTTTTCCCCCCCCCCCCCCTCCTTTCCACTGAGGAAGGGCACAAATGAGTCATTAACAAAAGGCAGCACAGGAAGCCTGAGCTGCCTCTGGAGTAGAAGGGCCATTGTGTAGCCTTGGTAGCAGTGTGTCTTAAGGGTTTTTGGAAGAATAAATTAACCTGCATATGAGCGATGTCTGTCGGCTACCTCTGGTACTTACCTTTTGTGGGTACCTTTTTCTGCAGTCTGCAGTGTAGACACAACACATCAAACCCATTTCTAACCCCAGCTTTCCTGGTTTTGCTTTGTGTAGTAACCACAGTGCTGTCCAGTCTAAACCTGTGAAGATGGCATGGCCCGAAAAATAGTTAAATGTTGCTTGGGAAGCAGTTTTGTGTTTGTAGCCATCTTTGACCTGCGTGCAGGTTTTATGCTCTACTCCACCCCCCACCCCTGAAAGCAATGGCCTTTTTTCACCCAGGAGAGAATTTGTGCTGATGCTCCCTACTCAGCTCCCAAACATTGATATTTAAATGAATTATGTCTGGAAACTAATGTGACTGTGTTACGGAAAAGAAGTGGACAGAATAACGGAGGGGAGGGTAATTTGCCATGGAGGAGACATTCTTAAAAGGCTTTCTTCTTCCTAATCAAAATTTCTTGCAGGCAAATGGCTCATCTCTGCTCTCTCTATCATTATTTATTTAGTGCTGTTCTACTCCTAGAAGTCATCCCCATCTTCAGCACATGGTAAATATTTTAGTGATAGCAGGTGGGAAGAGATGGGGAGGTGACTGTGGGGCAGGGATGAAGTGGAAGGTTAGCTGTGAGCACGGCAGCTGAGGGTCCTGGTTGACTAGAGACAGGTCAGTGGGAGACGAACACAGGGAATCCATAGGGTTTGGAAGGAAGGGGTTTCTGGAGTAAAAAGACTGGAACAGGAGGAACAATAAGGTGTTTTTATCATAGCAGAGATTTGCTTTAAAATACAATAACATGCAAGATTTTTTAAGTCAGTCATTATGGGGGAGATAAGGAGCAATTCATCCATTCTCCCTACCTATCTCCCATGCCCAGCAAAGCGCAGCTGGTCAAGTGCATTATTTTATGAAAAGGAGAAGAGATGTTTCCCACTCCAGTTAAATTAAAAGAAAAAAATTGACTATTGCTAGATACAGTTGAGGATCTGATCTCTAAGCAATGTAGATTTTGTCCTAAAGTCTTGGATTACTACTTTTTATCTATTTGGTACTTACAGGTAGTACCTTTGCTGTGAAGTAATTTTGCACTGGACAATAGTACTACTCCCTGTCTCGAGGAAAGCTTTTCCAAGCTACGGGAGATAAACCAGGATGTAACAGGACGATTGATCGCAGCAGGCCATCAGCCGTGCAGATGGGTCTGCGTGGCTGTTGAGATGCATGATACCTACTGGCTTGATCCCCTTCGTTTGGCTGGAGCAACAGTGCTGCTAGAGACACTGGGAAGAAAAGCAAGTGTTTAAGGGAAGGATGGATGCTGACTGGATAATGGATCAAGGAAAAAAGTCAAGGCATGGTGTCCAGTGCTTTGGCAATTGAAATCCCAGGTTTGGGGATTTCGCAGCAGTAGATGTTATGCAGGGAGCAGGGAGGGATAGCAGAGCCTTGTTTTAGTCAGGGCCGGCATCTGATGGCACCTGGGAGGGCAGCAAGGCTTGACATGAGGCAGTTTTCTGGAGCACTTTCAGTCCTTTCCCTTGCCCACACAATGGTCTGTCCTGCAGCCTAAGCACGTGTGTGCTGCCTCGAGTACTGACCGAGAGGGGCTGGGTGCTTCTGGCACCGGACCAACGTGGCTGTGTTTATCTGCTAGGGCTGACGTCTGAGCATGCTGCCTTTCAGAACTGTATTTTGAAATGCCATGAGCAGCATCCTAGCTCCTATCTCTCCAAAAGAAGCAGTTCTATTCCTAATGTGAATTTTCTTTCCTTGTAAAGTAATATCCTTCCAAGAAAGCCGCAACCATCTTCTGAGTTTACTGGTGCTTTTGACCAGTCTAAGCTTGGGTCACTGCTGGTGTGGCTTTGGAAAGTCATATTCTCAGCCCGCCCTTGACTTATGGTCCTCCTCTTCCCATCAAATTGCACCCCATTCTTCCTTCCAATTAACAACAAGCAGTTTAGTCTCTTCCCTGCTACAAAAGTTGTGCTGGTAACGGCATCAGCCTGGCATGGAGTCTGGAGTGAAATGCACAAGGTACGTACCTGCCCTGGATGTGGCATGAATGGGGCGCTGTAGCTTTGCAGGTAGGAAATGATGCATCCTTCTCTACTGTGACTAATCCCAGCCCCATATAGAAATGTCAGGCTCTAAGCTGACTGCCACCATTCAGGTGTGAGAGTTTGGGGCTAACAGGGACAGTTCCAGGTGGTCGACCAGAGTCAGAAAAGCAAGGTGGAACATGAGGAATTGAAAAAGAGTAGAGAACAAAACACAAACTTTGCTTAGACCTCTGAGTAAATCCATCAGAGATGCCAGGTTGCTGTTGGAAGGAGGGAAACACAGCACAGGTAAGAGAGAAATTTTCTCCTCTCTTGGACCAGTCCTGGCTGTGGCACTGCAAAGCATGCACGTAACCTTGTTTTCCAGCAGAATGGCTACCAACAGTCACTGGCTGTGGTCACAGGACAGATGGAAAGGATAACTGTTTAGGACTCTTTTCTACTCTAAAAAACTAGGAAGCACATGGCTGCAGAGCAGTGTGTGTGCGTGCAGCACAGGGGCAGCAGGAGCTGCCGAGGCAGCGGGGCTGTGAGTCAAGCAGACCGTCTGCTTCCCTCTCGTCCTTGTAAACTTCCCACTTGGCTGGCTGCTGTCAGGAAGCATCCACCTCTTCCCGCTCCCTGCCCGGCTGGGCGCCGCTCCAGCTCCAGGCACCAGGGCAGGAGGCAGGCAGGAAAGCCTGGAGCTGTCAGGAGAGGAAGAGTGAGGGACACGTACAGTGGTCTCTGAACTGACATGCTGGTAAAGATCATTTGCCCGTCGTTTTCTTGTGCTGTCCCCAGCAAGAGAGAACTAGGCTGATCTAGTAACTGGGATTCGCTGCCTGTGCTCCTGGACTGGTGCCCAGAATACCACCATTGGAAGGAAGGACCAGTGAGGCTGCTGCAGTTTTATAATGTAAATACTTAACATGGGCCATTATCACTTCAAAAACTTTTACAAAGAGTAGCGAATTAATCTTGTTAGCCCTCTGACACAAAGAAAGCACTTCATCCCAGAGATCGGGTATCTCTGCTCTTCCAGTATAGAGCTGCTGTGTCTAAACCTGACAGATCACGTCTCTGGCTTTACATCCAAGTCACTCAGATTGTTACTCTTCCTCTGCTATTCCAGTTTAATTACACTGCGGTTTCAGTGGTTTCTTGGTGCAGGATCTAGCGGCAGGGGATGGGTGACCCAAAGCAGTTGACCATGCATGAATGGCTCTTGTATTGCTTGTGCTGCACGTGGAGTGTGCACGGTTGTACCAGGTCTTCTCACCTTTGCTGCTGCTCTCCAGGCTTTTTGAATGCTTCTCTGTTTTTAAATCTCTTCTGTTCTGTTTCTTGTTTGTATTCAAAATCTTCCCCTGTCTTTCCAGCACTCCCTTTTCTTCTGCTGGCACATCTGTGCCTAATTCAGTGTCTCCAGCCCCCCAGTCCTAAATGGGTGTCTCTCCCCATTCCCCCTCGGCCATCTTTTCCCTCTCTGCTCTTACTCACCTGGCTGCCGCTTCAGTCTTCAACTTGCTCTTAAGTCTTGTAACTCTTTCTCCTCTACTACTTCACTTCATCCCTCTTGCCATTGTGCTGCATCAATTATCCTTGTATTGTCATATGGAGACTTTGTCCTGAAGGTCAAAGTTAAAGTGGTGAGCTTGCCTGCTTAGGTGTTGCCTCCCTGGTAAGGATAGATGAGGGAATATGATCTGAGCATAAATACATTATGTCCATCAACTAACCAGATTTTCAATGTTTTTCCTTCATTATTTGCTGCGGGGTTTTGTTGTTATTATTTTTTAAACTCTTATTTTGTACATTTTTATTCCAAATCCCCACTGATTCTCTCCACATCTGTGAGGTCAGGGACCTAAAAGTTCATTAATCTGCCAGAGGCACATCAGTTCTCAGAGATCTGTGCTATGCTTTGTTCTTGTTTTTGGTTTGGTTTTGTTTTCCACTGGAGCATAATCTATATTATGGGGATTATGAGGAGCACTGAGCAGACAAAAACTATGTAACTAACTAAAGCCTGGCTTTAACTGGGGGTTAATATTTTGATTAAAAATCGCACATAGTTAAAGACTGGTATCTTTACCTGTCTTGCAAATGCTTCTCGAGGTTGTTCAGACTGAAAAGACTGTTGAAAGCGATGAATAGACTTTCTCCATTTCATGTGGTGTGTTGTTTTTCATTCCTTAGTTTCCTATTTGTGTGCACAGTATCTGGTTCGCTCTGACCCACTGGACCAAGCACAGGCCATTGGCCAGGAGGATTGTTCTTTAAAGATGTTATTTCTGTATTTCTTGAGCAGATGAGGTAACATGTCCCTCTAAAAAATCAAGTCCTCGTTGAACTAAGCATTAGAGACATGAAGTGAAGATGCAGCTACTCATACAAAAACTTTCTTATAGAGTTAATGAAAAGAGATGGGAGGAAAAATGAAAGAGGAAGATACAAGGCTGCTGCTCACAGAAGTGATGTGGACAGGAGGAACCAGAAACAAGCCCTGTCTGCTCTGTGGAGGTCTTTCTGATATCTCCCTTGGCCAGGGTCAGCTCTGAGCCTGCTGCAGGGGTCGTGGCTGCCTGTGCCATTAATGCAAATGTATCTGAAAATACCAGTCCTTGTTTCACACAGAGCACAGAGGTGAGACCTTCATGAATCTACTGTATCAGTAATGTGTCCCATAGAGATGTGCCTAATGCATCTGCTAAATGGACTGGTGTCTCAAAGTTCTGTGAGCAGTTCAGCCCCCCACCTTCTCTGGGATGCTCCTTCCCATCCCTGCCTACTGACATGAGGAATCCATTCTGGTCCCTGATTTGTGATGCTGGCAAGAGATTTAGGATGGAGATTCCCATCACAGGGAAAGCAAGTTGTGCCCCATGGACAGTCCATCTCCGTGTCCATCTTAGGCATCTCTTACAATCATACAGAGAGAGTATGGACAGCTGCCACAGGTGGGGTCACACATTGCTTTCCCAGCTGAAGGGATGTTAGCTGCAGCTCCTCTGGGAGGTGCGCTGGGACACGAGCTCGGGCTGGAAGGGAGATGATCCCCTGAGTGGAAGGTGAATAGTAATTGCTCCTACTCAGATAACTTGCTGGACAGGCTGCACTGTGAATGAGCACCTTTTCAGTCCTCTACTGACTAAATGAGCTCAGTGCAGAAGAGTGATTTTTGCACTGAGTCATGCTGTTCTGCTTAGACAGATTTTGCCAGGCTGTGGTCAGGAACAACGGGTGAGGTTAGGCAGTGAACCATGATGTTCCCGGAGTATCAAATGAGAAGACAGCGTCCTGCTGAGGAAGCAAGCTGGCTGCTGCTTCCCACCTCTGATGTCAACACAAACAGGTATAGATGAGTGGGCAAGGAGAAGAAAAAATTTGGGGCACAATAATTGCTGCCGGTGTTTGTATGTTCTGAAGATTTCTGGGAGTAAATATGCATATGTTCAATGACTGTCACTTTTAAACATTTTGGAGCCGGCGCACAGTAGGTCCAGAGCTTGAGCTTGCTGCAGGCGTTCAGCAGTTTAGCTTTGTTCTGTGTTTTTTGGTCCCTCTGTGAGCCCACGGCTCATGTTTTCACGGCATGTGGCCATTTCATCTATGTTGCCAGAGCCATGGCAGACCATCAAGAGGTGGTGGAAGTGCTAAAGTTTTCTCCCGAGTATAATAATGATGATGATTATTATTAATAATGTATTATAATATATTATAATGATAACTGTGCCAGCTTCAGCTTCTTTCCTTAGCTTTAGGAACTAAACTGGTAACAAATTGCTGTGCTCACCTGTACTGAAGGCATCTGACGGGCCCTCTACTTTAGGAGAGGACTGGGGTGGGATGGGCACGTGGAGGTATTAGAATTGCTCTTGTGGATCAGACCTCTCGTCCGGTGGCCTATCTCTAACGCTGGCTTCAGAGGAAGGTGCAGGAATCCCCAGGCTGCCCACCTGGAAAGCTCTGCCCGGAGAAGTCCCTTCCTGATCCCTCTCAGTGGAGGCTTTCTGCCCAGAAGCAGGAGGCTTTCCTGGGGATGTTCTCATTATTCACAGAAATGCCTTATCCTTTCCAGATTCCTCATGAGCTCTTGTCCTTGGGGCCACATGAAAGTGATTTACACAGCAGTGTTTTGTACTGTGTAAAAAGGCATTCTTTATTAATTTGGAGCTTATTGCCTGTCACTTTCTTTCTAAATCCCTCTATTCTCATATCAGAAAATATGTACAGAACAGTGCAACACATTTCCTTTGTCATTTACTCTTTTGAAACCTTCCTACTAAACTAGTCCCCATCTTTTCAGCTGCTCTTCAGCATTTTTGAGTGCTGCAGAGATTTAGACCGAATTTAAGGTAAGTTAGATATCTTTCCCCTGTACCACTGCCTGCAGGATGAATGCAACCTTGGTTTTTGAAGAGAAGAGGGATTCTCCCCGAGGCATTTTGAACATCCAAATAAGCTACAAGTGGCACTCCTTTAATCACAACTTTGAGGACACGTTCCAGTAAATTAGAGGCTTGGTTTACAGAAGCTGTGATATTTTGTGGCTACTATACAGCGTTCATCAGAGCGTACCTAAGGCTAACTGAGCAGAACAAGGCACATTTTAACGTGACGCATATGAGAAAAAATTCAATTTCCTTTGCATTTACTAAGGTCAATGACAGGTAGCTTTGCCAGAAGCTCTGCTTAAAAATATCTGTAAAATTTATTTCTGCTCCTGAGTGCTGCCATGGCCAATCTTTTGCCTTGAGAGTTGCTTGGGGATGCTAGCCTGTGACTCCCTGACATATGACTTGCTGTTATGGTGGGAACGCTTCTGGCTTATGCCAAGATGACAGAAAAGAGGGTGGTAGGGACTAAATTGCAAAAATAAGTTTTTAGTTGCTCTTAGCCCATGTGAGAGAAACCCTTAAAAAAAGGAGCCGCTCTCTTCCAATAGTTTGAATCCAACACGTGGGCTAGACAAAGCCCGCAGAGGCCAAGGTGCCAAAAGGCTTTGGCTGTGCTTCTGTCTTGGACGCAGACCACCGTCCCATTCCCCTGTGAGTAAATGATGCTACGGTTTGCCTTCAACACTGATGTGTGCGTGCTGTGGTAAACCACAAGCACAACGCACTTGAACTCAGTGCTTAACGTTAAGCACTAGCACTTGGCTATGAACAGGCGTGAGGCACCTCACCTTAGGCTTGGATGGGACTAGTAAACTCTTCTGCTCAGAAAGCAGCTTTACTTAGGTGGAGATGTTATTGTGCTGTGAATCACAACCTCTGTTCTAGCAGAATTTATTTCCTTTCTCTGTCTTAAAGGTTCTTCATCATTAAAGAAAGCTTCCTGCTCTACTATGCTGAGAGTGAGAAGAAAAGCTTTGAAAGTAATAAATACTTCAACATCCACCCCAAGGTGAGTGGCGTTTGCATGGGAGAGGGGGTTATTCTCCTTCTAGCTTCCCAACCGCCCCATCCCTCCCAGCAAGGGAAGAAGAGGTAAATCACAAACTTCTCATAGATCCAGGGAAACCTCAAAAAAAGCAAGACTGGAGGCTGATGGAGCACATGTGCTTCCAAAGGTGCTGATTTCATCCAGCCTGGTTAGGGGCAGCAGGCCACCCATCTGTCCCCACACAGCACGTGTGGGTTGTTGACCTACTAGTGGTGACTGTAATGGATGTACAGCCTCTCTCATGCTACCACACTGTGACTCTGCAACATCTGCCCTTTTGGAAGATCACCTCTTGCTTGATAAAAGAGCTCCCACTTCCATGTTCTAGCTAGCAGCCTTCCCTCCAAGCTGAATGCAGGGGAGTCATCTTTACCCCCTTTCAGATACCACTTGGATGTCTCCTGGTGGTGGCGGAGTCCCTCTGCTTTTTAGGAACTGTGTGTATTGCCCCTCCTGGGATAGCCAAGGCAGGGCAGGGGCCCACAAGTGACCAAGGGTGAAAGTTCAGCTCCTGGTTAGTTAATAGTTACACTTGATTTTACTGACTGATTGGAGTGCTCTGGTTCATCTCCAGGGTGTCATACCCCTGGGAGGCTGCATTGTGGAGCCCAAAGAAGAGCCCAACATGCCTTATGCCATAAAGATCTCTCATGAAGACTTCCATGTAAGTAGAATTATTTTCTTCTCAAAAAAACCAAACCCAACCCAAACACCACAAAACACTTTATTGCTGATGAACAGAGCTAGACTGGCAATCTTTCCCACCCCACCAATGTGTGCCTACCCTCTCTGGGCAGACTGTCCTGAGAAAGAGGGTGGGTTAGCATCCTCAGTCCCCTCAAGGCTTTGCTGCTGCTCCTGCTTTGACAACCAACAAGGAAACTTGCTCTTTCTGACGACAGGTCTTACAATACCAGCAGACCAGTAGACAGATATTCAGGAGCCCTAGAGCTCGTGTCGCTCTATCATTTTATTCCTACCATGACCGCTTGCTGTGTGCATCTCTTTCCAAGCAAGAATGTGTGGCAGGCCTGGGTCGTAATTGCTCCCATGTAATGTCTCCTGCAGAGGTGGAAGCCTGCGGTGGGCTCTCCTCCTGCCACAGCTGTGCTAATTGTGTCCAGTTCATGCACAGAGGTGCATAAGGCACCAGCCTCTCTAATCCGGGTGTTTTTTCCCCCTCCCCTCCCCTCTTCTAGGGTAACATTGTTCTAGCAGCCGAATCAGAGTTTGAGCAGGCTCAGTGGCTGGAGATGCTACAGGAGTCTGGAAAAGTGTAAGCTTCTTTCTATTCCTTATTCTCTTTGATCTGCTCTGTAGATGTGTAAAGGATAAAGCGGAAAAAGCCTGACTAGGAGGACTATGGGGAGGCAGAGAAGCTCCCCAAGGCTAGTGAGATCTTTGCTTGCCTGCTAGAGCACACTTTCTAAATCTCAGCAGACGCAGTAAGATGTAACGCTTAAAAAGGGATTTGACTTTCCTAAGACAGGTAGAAACTTCCAGAGCTGTAGAGCAGAGCCTACTATTCAGCTATGAGACTTAAAGCAACAAGCACTTTGCTCTGCCCTCCCTGGCCGCATTACAATGCGTATATGTGATCTCTCATGACTGTAGGGACAAAAGCTGCTCTTTCAGGCAAGTTTAATTTGTAATACCAGTGTGTGCATACAGGTATGCATGGTAAAGGAGGTATCTCAGTCAATTCCAACACTATGAGGCTGAAAATGTTCATTTGTAATTAATGGGGAACACAGTATTACAGTGGATCAGCCCAAGCCAAGCTCTGCGCTGCTGCAGTGAGCCTGGTTTTGGTGCTGGAGCAAGCTCAGTTACCTCCATAGTACTGTATGAACTGCAATACAAAGCTGCCCATTAGAGCTTCATGGGAGCATGAGCCCATGGGAAACAAGACCCAAGGCAGAGGTCTGTCACCCACTCAGCATGAGCAGACTTGGCCACTGCAGAGGAGGAGGGACCCCGAATCAGCCCTGGAGTAACTCGGAGGTTTTCCTTCAGTAGCACAGGTCTGCACTTGCCTTCATCAACGTTAGACTTAACTATTGCCAAGGGCAATAATTTGGGGGCCAAATTAATCTTTCAAGTGTGTACGGGAGGGAAGGAGTGTGGCTGCACAGCTCAGGAGGGGTTCTCTCAGGCAAGCCCTGTGCGGCTGCTCATTTCACAGAGCCTGCCTTTTCTCTAGTCCTTGCTCCAATATTCCAGCACTAGTGTTTAAAACAGGAGCTAGAGAGGTGGCTGCTATCATACAGCAGACAACCTGCACCTAGCTAAAAATCTGCCTGTGACACCCCTTTCCCTCCCCTCTCTGCTTCTGTTCTTGCATCAGAGGAGCAGAGTGATGCAGCTCCAGCACCAGCTTAATCAGTGCTGATGATAGCCTGCATGTGAGGAAAAGCACAGATTATGTGATTTATGTTAGCGGGGTCAGGTTGGGTGCCAAGCAGCAGCCAGAAAGGCACAGCGTGGGCCAGTAAATTGATCTGCAATGAATCGGTAAGCTAAAAGGACACAGCTGAAATCTTCTAGGCAACCTGTTTTAGTGCCCTGTTATTCCTAGATGGAGATTGTACTGCTGAAGGCACTGCAGCATTTACGGTTTATTGTGATTATTCTATGTTCTCCCTCATTATTTAGAACCAACCAAAGGAAACAAAAACCCAAAACTCAAAAAAACCCAACTTCATAGACTGAGATTTTTTTAAATAACTGAGATTTTGTTAAATAAGGGCAAGAGAAAAAAATGAACCCTGGATGGGAAGTGTCCTCTATCCTCTCCTCTGTTTCAATTTTGTCTGCTGCCTCTTTACATCTGGGACTGGGTGGGGGGCATGGGGGGTGCCTGCACAACTGCTTATTACCTCCACCATCAGAGTGTGCTCAGTGATGCCTTCAGCTCTTCACTTCTTTCCAAGCCTCCTGGTTTGATAGGGAAACCACTTACTCAGTGTGGAGGGGAGCTGATGGTCTCTCCACGCTTCTGAAGTGTTGTGGCTTGGACTTCTCACACTTGCCAGATCTTGAAAGCTTTTCAGAAATGCACAAAGCCCTGATTCCCAGCTGCCCAGGCTCTCTTCCCACACAGAGAGGCTTTTGCTGCTGCTAGTGGGGGAGAGGGGCACACATACGCTCTCTGTGTCCATAGTGGCATTCCCTGTACTGGTTAAAAGTAGACTTGGTGGGCAATGGGGAAAAAAAAAAGCAACAAAAAAACAAAAAAACCCCAACCAAACAAAAAAAAAAAACCCAAACAAAACAAACCAACAGATCACCAACTCTTTTTGTCAGGAGAAAGGCATGAACAACTAGGACATGGTTGAACCCAGCTGAGAATAACGCTGAGTGCTTGTTCTGAGGAACGTGCTAACAGCTGCCATGCCGTGTGCGTACCTGTGACACTCTGCTGGGGCCATTTGGTGATGGGCATAAAAAAATAACCTGGCATTTGGGGAAGGAGAAAAAATTGGGTTGTCCTGGTTCTCTTGTTTTCTGGAAGATATTTGTGGCTGCTGCTGGATAAGAACCAATTCTCTATCTCTACTCCTTCAGGCCCTTGGCAAAACTATGCTCCTTCCTTACCCAACCCTCACACCCTCTACTTAGGCAGCCTTACCTTCATATAGCCTGTCTCCTTGGGTGCCCATACCTTTGTGTCCCCTCTTTCCTCATCCCCATAAATACACAGATGATTATCCATCCTGGGCTGTTACCTATAGAGAACTAGGTAACATAGTACATATGTCTGGTGGGCCATGAAGTGCTAAGTGTCTCCAAAAATTGGTTGTGGATGCTCCCGAGAAAGGTAAAATGCGGGCAAAGCTAGCATGCTGCAAAAGGACTGGAACAGCCTATGTTTGAGCTGTGTAGCAAATGGAGATACTATACAGCTTTGTTGTTTTGTTGTTGGGGGTTTTTTTTTGGTTTGTTTTTTTTTTTTTTCCAGAAGTATATTATAAGGGTGCTTTCTACTTGTCCCGAGAGCCTTGCTGACCCTGTGCTTTCCAGTACTTTAAGCAATGTGGGTTTTTCTGATGAAAACTCACTTGGTAAGAAGTCCAAAATAAAAAAAGCACTTGCTGGCCCCTCAGCTGAAGTCATAGCCTGTACCTCCCCGCTGCTGCGGTTACACACCGGCACTGGTTCCAGCAGATAAAAGGAATAAAAGCTTAAATGCTACCCAGTGACATGGGTGCATCTTATAAGTTATACAGCAGTGGGTGTAGTAACCTTTGAGTTACAGACAGGGAAACATCTTGTTAGGCTGGGGAAGGGAGGGAGCGCTGAAAAAGTGAATCTAATAAACAGACACCTTAAAGGCTACAGCCGTTTTGAAACCCTCCAAGTAATCATATGATAACCTCTGTCGTTGCCCCCGTCCCCCCTGCTCCCTTGAGCTGTTTGCTGTTGCTTTCTCTGGGATCAGATTCATCCTGTATCAGAGAACGTTAGCGGAAAAACACATTCACACCCACATGTTCTCACTCAAGATGAAGATGTCTACCTGTGGGCAAAACACCACCTTTTTAATTAGCGTTCTAATTTCCTCTGCACTTCAGAAATATCCTAGATGCTTGGTAGCTGAAAAGAAACCCAGCTGTCTGCAAAAAGCACAAGGCAGTGCTTGGGCTGCTGGAGCTGTGAGCTGCCTGGTCCCTGGGGTGATGTGTGTTTAATATATTTGTCTGGCTTTTGTAAGAGACAAAGTACAGGTTGCCTTGAAATTGTTTTATAAGAGGTTGCCAACTTAACGGTTTCCGAAAAGCTACAATTTTAAATGGCTCACAAAGACACCTGATACAGGAAAGCTTACAGGTATTTAATATTAATAAGCTCCCTTAAGATTTAACAAAGATGGCAGAATTTCTGGGCAGCAATTGCTGTTCCTGTATGTGCATCTATATAAATAGATTGGGATTAATTTTATGTATGCATTTTATGTATTTTCTGCGTGTAGATAATTTTTTCTAATGGAACATGAATAGAAGTGAGCAGCAAACTCCATTTCTGGTTCTGTTTTTGGTTTGTATGTCCTTGTCCTTGGTATTTAATATCTGTGTTAAAGCCTACCCTGTCCATAAACTCAATCAGTAATGGGCATATGCTCCACAGGCCTTTTTTACAGCTTAGTTTCATAATGTGTTCAAGAGACCTTGAGCTCCTCTGGCCAATGGTCCTACAATAACACAAAGTACTCTGTCAATATGCCTGCTTCCTTTAATTCTCCCTACTTGCCAGCATCTTGTCTGGCTTTTCTCTCTGGTTCTTCGTTGTTTTTACAGGGAGAGGCACTTAACTCACAGTGTAGGGCCAGACACCAAATCCTAGTGGCTTACAAGTTTAGCAGAGGAGGGATTGATTGATTCCAGGATGGATGGATGGACGATGGATACCAGAAAGGCTGAAGAAAGAAGGCTATGGGAAGGAGTCAATAAATGGTTAATGTTTGAAAGGGAAGAGTGGCAATAGCAGCAAAATACTGGAAAGGCTGCAGAAGACAATGTCACTGGCAGATGGGAAGTTAGTTGAGTTAAAAGCTAAAATCTGGTTCTAAAGTCTGTTGGGATCCATTTAATGGGTTCCAGGTACATCCTGTTGCAGTTGGAGGCTGTGCATGTGCTGCCTTGGTCTAGAGAGCCCTGAAGACTAAGCTCAGTGTAGAAATCTCCAAAACACTGGAAAAAACATTTGAATAGCTGTGCAGTGTTGACGTACAGCTCCTGTATTTAAAAAAAAAAAAAAAAATTACTGAATGTCAGGGAAATTTCTCCAGTTCATTTGTGGGGAAAAATTTAGAGAATCACTGTCCCAGCTGATGAGAGTCTGTGTGTTTGAATTCCTTGGTAGATTGCTAGGCTGAGTCCCCTGCCTTAATCTGTGGGACCCTTAGCTCTCTTACATGTCTGCTTTGTGTCTGCTTTTCCTAGGACCTGGAAGAATGCCCAGCTGGGAGAAGCCATGATCGAGAGCCTGGAAGCCCAAGGACTGCAGCTGGCCAAGGAGAAACAGGAGTATTTAGGTAGGAAACTCTTACTTCCAAAAGCCATAAACCCCAAAATAGCCACTTTGCTTTCCTGGAGTTGTCACTGGTCAAGCCAAGCAGCTACAGGTTTTTACTGTTGACTTTTACTGGATGAAGCCTTTCAGTAGGCAGCAGCTGAAATTCACATTTTGAAGGGAGTCAAAACATGAAAATGCTAAGGTAGGATCTGGATATCTGTGTGGAGTGTGAAAGGAAGAACGTGCCTTGGCCAGCATGCTGTGGTCCTGCAGCTCCGGATGGCTGGACTGTACAAATGTTTGCTGCCCCTGAGAAGTTTGGATGTGCTGATTTCAGCTGCTCACCAGGCAAACGGCCAGCACCCTTGTCTCCCTGAATCACACAGGACTGGCATTTCTCAGGCTGATCGCAGCTTTTCATGCATGAGTCTTCCTCTTCTAGCTGGCTTTTTTGGCCTTATTCTACTTGGTCTTTGTCTGCATTTGCCCACACTGTTCATGTTGAAAGTGGGAGCATTTACATGGGCTGGTTTAAGGTGTCTAATAGCAGTGGCTAATTTGTCATTTTTATCTCTGTGGGCAACGGAGAGAGAGCAGTTGCTCCAGACGAACATAGAAGGTTGGAAGAGACTTCTGGAGGTTATCTATTCCCATCACCTACTCAGAAAACAGCCTCTGGATGGCAGTACGCTCCTGACTGCCTCGGGAGGTCCAGCTTTCTCTCCCCACAATGCCTATAGCAAGAGCCAAGGGAGAGCAGCCTCTTTAACCCAGATGCCTCCTAAGTCGGATCATTCCCCAAGATAGGAGTAACAGCCCTTCTGGCCTGGGAGCTGCTGGCCACATGTGTGAGCCCAGTGATTTGCCTGGACAGTCATCTACTCTAAACAAGCTAGTGGCACCTTTGTGTGCTTTCAGGTTGGTGACGCCTGGGGCAGGGGCTCCTGGTCTCTCCTCCAGTGGTTTGATGCTTAGGAGTGATCTTGAAGAGCCTTTTCCATTTTTGCATCCATGCTGATCAAGGGTGATCTCAGTATATGGTCTCAGATGTAACAGTGATCATAATTCAAGTATCAAGGCACGTTCGTTCAGGCCATCTAGGAGCCATTCACACATGTGAGCTGGTGGATGGGCTCGTATGTGAGGCAGGCAGGGAGGAGTGGTTCCACACCTGACAAAGGGGTACTAGGGAGTGCTGAGAGGAGGACCTGCAGAGACAGCAGGAAAGTTAGAAATAGGAAAGTTTTGTCAACACATTATTTTGCAAACACCAGAGCAGACTAAAGAGCATAAGAGACTAAAGATGGCCACAGTATGATAGAAGACAAGGTGATGGAGGAATAGAGAAATATGCGTTCTGTGGCAAACAGGAGATATTTGGAATATAAAATATACGTTCCAGTGGGTTCTTTAGTCCATGACAAGAACATTCAGAGCTGGTCAATTGTCACAGTTGGTTACTTTCTTTGGACAGTGATTGTCTATTTATTCCTCCATAACTGCTGAGGCTTCTACCTCATTAGCCTTACCTTCAATGATCTGTGTCCACCCTGTAGTTAAGTTTTGAGGTCGGGCACTGCTCCTGGAAGCAGGTCAAGGCTCTCTGGAGGAAGCAAACACTGCTCTGGGGAATTCCCTGAATCTCCTCAGAGTTACCTTTCACCTGTCCCCCGCCCAGCTGGGCTCCAGGTTTCTCTCTCAGGGTGGGACTTTGCAGAAGCCTCTCAAGCCCTGGGCTTGCCATCGCCGGGAGGGGCAGAAGAGGGAAGGTGGGAGAGCCTCTGTGTAATTACAGTGCCGCTGTGCTGGGTCCTGGCAAGGAGGAAGCGGGTGAGACAGGGAAGGAAAGGCAGCAGTGGTGCTCAGCAGAGCTTTACGAACACAACAGGAGCCCTGCTGCGGGCAGGAGGTAGTAGAGATCTGCATTTCTTCTAGCAGTAGTAATTCTGCCAGCAGGAGTAATCTCTTCAGATGCCCAGTACAAAGGAAACCGGTAGCATCCTCCTCACCTGATATGCGGAAGACTTAATCATAAGGTGCTACAGTGAATCTGCCCCTGCTCACATGGCAGTCGGGTGGCAAAGCTGAGAGCTAAACCCTAGGCTTAACTATGAGGAATGTGTTTCTGTCTAGTTTCCTGTAAGTATGACTAAGAGCTGCCTAAGGCAGAGCCTCTGTTTAGGGTTAGAGCGTAGCACAACATAGCTACCTCAGGTCACAGTGTAAGATCGGAGCAGGGTCTCTGGTGGGCATGTGTCCTTCTCAGTAGGACAAGAGCAACTGATGTTGAGGGGAGCTATTCTTAACAGCAAGAAGTTTTGTGGCTAAGTTCGGGGACTGATTTCTGGGCTTGGCTGGGACATCTGAAGGTGACAGTAGGAAGCTGGCAGTGACATCCAGGTGGCTGAAGGAGAGGGTGATGTGCTAGGTGGGTAGGGATGGGGCACTGAACTGTCGGAGGAGAACTGACTGCTGCTATGCAGTGTGCGACCCTGGGCACCCACTTAACCTTTCTGTGCCTTTGCTTCCTTATGTGTGAAGCAGAGATAAGGGTATTTTCCTGATTCAGCTACAGAATGGGGAAGGTTAGTTCATTAATGCTCTTTAAGAACATTGAGACGAAACCTTAGGAGGAGTACACAGCAATATGGTGGTTAGTTTTATTAAGCTATTTGGCAGGAGGGAAATTACAGAACATCCCATTAGTGTCATCTCAGCCTTTGGAGCCTCCCAGACAGATACACACAGAGCAATAAGGAGCACTGCGTTTTCAAGCTCCGAACAGTCAGTGTTTCATACTCATAAATATCCCCAGGATATAAATTGTTTTTCTCTGCATTTGGCCTTTGTGTGTGTTTTTGTTTGCAGATAAGCTAATGGAAGAAACAGAAGAGCTGTGCCTGCAGAGGGAGCAAAAAGAGGTGAGTGTTCATCACAAGCCAATTTCCTTCATCTTCCATGTGGCAGGACTGAGAAGTCAGGAGTTGTTGGTTTGAGAGCACACCAGGTTTCAGGAAGGGAGGCTGCGGAGCCAAAAGAGTCTCCAGCCAACCTCTGGGCCCTGTGCACGGAGAGGAATAAGAGCCGTGCCATGGGATGGGTCCTGGAGGTGTATCTCTGCTCCCCTTCCCAGACACTTTCCATACAGCATGCTTTTCGTTGTGTCTCCGGGAGGATCAGGGAGGAAGATCAGATTAAATTCATATTCACTGGATTGAATTAAACACTTGTTATTTGGCAGATTCAAGAGGACTCTGGCAATCAACTTGTCTGTCTCCCCGGTTAGAAAGCAAATAAACAGACCTGACATTGTTCTAGTGTAGAGATACCATTGTAAGAAACAAGGAGCAGCAAAAAGCAACGTGGTTTATTCTTTGGACACACCAGAGATGGGGAAAATAATAAACGTTGCACTAGGAAAAGCCCAAGAGACCACTCCCTTAGATGTGACTATTATACCTTAATTTATCAAGTTTATTATTATTTTCCAAACTATTCCTAAATTATATTTGCTTAATATAATAAAAGTAGCTCATTCTCTTATGTCACCAAATCTATACCATTTTTTATAGCACCATCATAAAGTTATTGCAAGATAGCTTTGCAAATGGGTTGTCCTACTACACGGTAGGAAATCCTGCATGGATGTAGACCACCACATTGCAATCTTGCGAACTGCCGCATGCTCTCTTTTCCAGTTAATCCAAAATGACTGTCGCCCCTCTTTAGCAAAAGACAGCAATGCTGACCTAGGCTTCTCAGGCCTGTGTTTTTCCTGTGTATGTTTCTGCAGAGCTGAAGTCCAAAGGTGGCTTGGACACTCCTTTAGGGCTAAGCTACTTTGGCCTTTGCAGGGAGACATCCCTTTCTGGTGAGGTAGCCTGCTGCACAACCCACAGCCACAGGGAGGGAAATGCCCTTGTCTAAAGACTCTGGAACAAATCTCTGCTCTTACAGAGCCATGCGCAGTATCTCCATTGCCCACAAAGAGCAGATGGGGCCAGGTTAGTTTGATTGAGTTTGTTACTGATGAAGGAATATAGCTCACTGAGCTGTGGCAGTCTGACCTGCTGTGAGCCTGAAGGCTTCAGAGCAATATGTTGGGAAAGCAGCTTGAACCATGTACCTGCACCATGGAGCAAGAGTCTTACTACGAATTTATCTGGCGTCAGTGCTGTTCTGTGACCTGTCTGGGCCTGCAGCAGGAGTTCTGCCTAGCAGTTAAGGCTGCTACCTGACTGGCAGCAGGACCCTCGCTGTACGTTGTCCCTGTCTCCATCTGCAGTAGGTCTCAGTACAACTGCTTCCTCTAGACTAGGGGAAGAGACTGTTTCGCTGCTCGAGGATAGCTTGTGGTATTCGGTGTTCTTTAAGCATGGTTTTATTAGCACAAAGATAGTGACAGGCTGATTAAACTGTGCAAAGCTGTAACTGTGCAGTTCGTGTTTTCCTGTCCCAGTGGGGATGGGAAGCAGGGCTGAGCTAGCAGAAATATCACGCTTCAGGTGTAGCAGTGCTTGGGCTGTCACGTTCCTGTCCAGGCTTTCTGTACCTGCACGTGTGGGTGCCTGGAAGTGGTACATGCATGTTGAGTCCAGCTTTCCCAGGGAGCTTTGGACCTTCTCTATACGTGCAGCAGAGCTGATCTGTGCAGGGAGCATGTCTGGGATCTCCAGGTGCCTGGTAACCTGGCTGGGACTTCTGGATGTCTGGAAATCCTCAACCAACCTTCAATCCCTTCTAATTGCCCCTGGACAAAAGTGTGGTGGAATCGGATGCTCCGTGGCTCTACATAGCTCAGGTTAAAAGTCCCAGGCATTGCTAACATGGAAGCTTTTCCTAAGTGTCAGTGTGTCAGCAGAGTACATTCTTGTCTTCTCTTTTGATCCAGGAACTCGAGCGTCTGAACCAGGTTCTGGAAGCAGAGAAGCATCGGTTTGAAGAGGTGGTACGGGAGCTGCGGCTGGAGCAGGAACAGATCAGACGGTAAGGCGGCAACCTGCGCAGGGCAGGAAAACGACACAAATTCCTGCGCTTGGCAGAAGCGCTGCTGTGTTGGTGAATCAAAACAGTTCATAAAATCCACTTATTTTGTGCATGTGGGAAAGAGATAAATGCTATATGGACCGAAACAGGAACAGTTGAGATCTGTTTACCTGCACTTGCTATCACTTGTATGACCAATAGAATACAGCTTAGTTTCATTTTGCGTTCAGGGCTCCAGAAACTTCATTTTCAAAGGGCTGGGACATGAGCAAACCCCAGATTAGTTGGGGTAGCATGGCAACGGAAGGTGCTAGAGGATTTCAGAGAGGCAATTAGTTTGATTGACTGACCAGCCATGTGGGCTCCAGACATCTGAATCTGGTTTTCCACCATCAGATGAATGACATGGGTGGATGATGAAGTTGCCTCACTGAGAATAATTTTGTCATTTTAAGAGTTACACTATGCAAAATATGAAGAGCAAATCTATTTAGAAAGGGAAGGATCCAAGTGCTTTGCCCTGAGTGTTGAAAGGGCACGTTTTGCCATTGCCCTCTTTTTTTTTTTTTGCCTTTTCTCTTCCTAAATAACATCTCAGGAAAGCCAGTGCAATTTTGCAAACCATTTTTGTTTTCATAGATCTACATCTGCTTAGATAGGACTACCCTGTCTGAGCTCTTCCAGTTGCAACCGTGGCCCTGCCCTTGCTAGAGAAGCATACTAACAGTTGGTTTTGGTTTGCCGATCAGGAGGCACAGTAAAATTCCTGGCACCCGTAGTGTGTTCGAGGTGTGATGCTTCCTGGCAAGCTCCTGACTCTCCAGGGCTGCCTGTACCAACCACCGGTCGCAGGTCCTGCACTAAGAGATCCACAGCCTGCGCAGTCTGAGCGCGGTCTGTGGGGCTAGTGTTCCCCTGCAATAGCTATCACCCTTTTTGCTTCTTTAGGGAGCTAGAGCTCACAGCCCACTCCCTTAAAGGAGTGGAGGAAGAAAAGAAAGAGTTGCGAAGCCTGACACAGTCCTTACAGAAAACCCTAGAGGTGAGTGACCACTTCTCCCCTCTGAGTGACACCATTTTGGGAACAATCCATGAGAACTGACCAGGGCTGAAAGCAATGCTGTCCCATGGAATGAATCTAACATCCACTAGTGCCGGAATGAAGTCCTGTGCGGATGAACAGGTTCATTCGGTAGCTGATATGACTGCCAAAATCCCCTGCAGAAAAGAACTAGAAGTGACACGGAGCCCAGCAGAACCAAATGTTTTCTCAGCAATACCAGGTGATGTGATGTAGGACAATAACCATAAGTTGCAGTTTGGGAAGCTCAGGTTGAACACTAGGGAGAGACTTTTCACCAGACGGGTAGGCAGGCAGTGGGAGTGGCTGAAGAACCTCCATCTCGGAAGGTTTTCACAACTCGACTGTAGAAAGCCACAGCTGACCATATCTTGCTGTGCTGACAGACCAGCTCTGAACAGGAGGCTGGACTAGAGCCTACCAGAGGGTCCCTTTCAGCCAACATGGCTATAAGTCTGATAACTTTCTGATCTTTTTTTTTTTTTTAACTGCAACTCCATAAGTCCTGGTGGAAATTGGAGCAGAGAAACATTCCTTGTTCACAGAAGGGAGCATGGTTCCCAGGGAATCATGTACCACATGAGAATTTAGGAAATGGAGTGCTGATGTATTAAACCCTTTCCTTACTTGGTATCACTCTGGTGGATTGGTGGAAAGTGGCTTTTCTAAATGTATATTGTTTGTGAAATTTCCACACAGCTGGCCTTCTGAAGCCTCAACGTCATCCTTAATGTTCGTGTCAGATCCTGCAAGTTTGTCCAAAAATCTGTTGCTGATGTTCCTTTGAGCTCTTCTTCCCCACAGTTATGGGTATGAAAAAAGCTAGAAAGCTAGGGAAGGACCGTTCATGCCCTAGTTGCACACTGGTCAAACATTTCACAGGAAAACAGCATGATGCATCCTATTGCCCCGCAGTTAGAAGTACCACAGAAGGGATGCCTCTAGTTCACATTGAGGAGCAAGGCAAGGAGGGAAGGCATGGAAGCTGCCTGCATCAGTGATGCACTAGGGAGGCATGAGGCTCCAGCCCCTGAGCTGGGTCCTTACTAGCATATCATGTCAAAGGAGCCTGCAGGTTCTTGCCTCCTTGCATACCGAAGGCTCTGGTGGAGGCTTGCTCCTCGTGAGGCAGGTACGACATGAAAATCAGATTTTGTTATTCCTGTTTTTAACCTGAATGAGGCATGTGGATGTAAGGATGGAGGGACTCAATAGGGAGGAACCAGGCAGGAACAGGAGTAGAAATGTTAGACTTGGCTGATACTCACAATCTCTCCCTTTCTTCAAGGAGCTCTCCCTGGAAAAGCAGCAAATGCTGGAGATGCTGGAAGAAAATGAGAGCCAGCTCCCACCTCCAACCAGCCCCAGCAAGGAGCAAAGCCCCATCTGGGGACTGCACTGCAGCCTGCGACAGATTGAAGAGAAGATGCAGCAACTTCTGGAGGAGAAACTCCTGGCAGAGAAGAGGTGAAGTGGGGGCAGTGGTGCCAGAGGCAGGGATATGGGACAAGATGCAATCCAGTGTGAAGAGGGTGGTGGGAAAAGAGGTGGCTTTCCCCCTTGCAGGTGGGAGGCAATCAGAAAGGGTATGGCTAAATATTTCGAGGTTTAAAATTAGGATCACTTTAAAACTGTTCCCCTGTTTATCCTGAGACCTGCAGAGATGCAAGATCCTTTATAATTTCCATTCTTGGGTGCAGTAAAGGGAAGAGGACGCTTCTGCCCTGCTCAGGCTTAGTGGTGCCAAATGACATTGACTATCTGCTGACTTGCTTTTTGTTTGCCAACACAAGACAAGTCTGGAAGCTTGTCTAGTTCCCATGGCAGGAGTTCAGGTTATAAATGCTTCAGAGGGGACAGAGTGAGGCAGGGCAGCTGAACTCCTTCCTGCTGCTTGGGCCTGCTCCTTTCCAATCAGGACTTAGGCACATGAATCCATTTGGTGTTTATGGACTTGTCCATGAGAAGCGTTTGGTGCTCCTGGACCTCGTCTGGGGGTTGAGAATGTTCCATTCAAGAACTGTCCACCTGGCTTTCTCCAGCAAGGCCTGTGTTATTGAACTGAAACACAGACAGCGCTCCTGTTAGCACCTCTTTGCTCAGGGCAGCCAGGTAGTTAAGCATGCCCCACCACGATCCTGAGCCCCTTCCTTCCTCTGAGTTGTGGTGGGGTGGGAATGGTCGTCTTCCTTTGCTGTGCCGTGCACCAGGATGAAGGAGAATGAGGAGCGGTCCCGAGCGCTGGAGGAGGAGCGGGAGTTCTACTCTTCCCAGTCCCGAGCACTGCAGAACTCGCTCTCGGAGCTGACCGCGGAGAAGCAGCAGACGGAGAGAGACCTCAAGGTATCCCCTGCATGTGTTGCGTATTGCTGTCCCTGGGCCAGAGTTCTCTCATTTTCCCTTTCAGTTCATCCCCTATCAAGTGGGAGCCTTGATTTTATTTTGTTTTCATTTTGTGGTCGCAAATCTTCATTTGCTATGCTTCATATCATGGTAACACCTGAAGTTGCCATGTTTTATCTATGTAGCACTAGTATTTATTTTTTCATTCTGAGGCCAGATTAACCCATTCAGTAAAAGTCTTTTCATTTGCTACTGTGAAAGCATCATCTAAAGATGCAGGGAGGAAAAAAAGTAAAAGAGGAAAGTAGACACAATCAAGAATAAAGATTATATCAAAGAAATGCTAATATGGACATTGCAGAACTGAGCAGAAATCTCCCCTCCTCACTTGTGCTCAGAGAATCAATCTTAAGATTTGTAAATCTTCAAGAACCTCTGCATGAACTTGGGTTCAAAAGCAGAGGAATGCAGGTGAGGTACCAGCCCTCCTCCATCATCCCAGTAATGGAAGATACCTTAATCTACATAAAGGTAATTGGACAAAGTGTGATACTTTAGTTTAATCTAAATAATGTAAAGTTTATGCTTATTATCGGCTGTTTGACACTCAACCTCCTTCTACAAGTATTTTGTCCAAAAAAACCCCAATTCTTCTTTTTCCTGCAGCTCCAAGATTTTCTTATTCTGTAACCTTCCACCTGGCCAAACTAAAGCTAAGTTGAACTAAGCTGTATTAGTTATTCTCATTTCCTAAGCTACTACTGATATTATCTTTTATTTCTAATTTTTCCTGTGTTTTGTTTCTGAAACTAAGTACTGTACACCCCTTTGTGGGAACTGACTGCCTTTATCTCAAGTCTGTCTGAGCTGGAAAGAAGTCCTTCCATTCCTGCATAAGCACAAATTCACATGTTGAAATACCATCTCTGATGCCACGTGGTTCATACAATGAGAGGGAAGCTGTGAAAATGAAAGTCAGAGTAAAGGAGAATTACTGAAATAATCTGGACTTCAAATTCAGATCTGTCTGAAGACATGAGGAAGAACTTTTATGTTGTCTTACAGTATTTCTATTGGTTTTCCTTACTGTTGTCTTTTCATTTTCATCTGCTTTGTGGATCCCTCACAGACCTTGTGAGTTAGCAGGATGGTTATTGAGATGCAAGCTGTTTTTCAGCAATGCTTATTCTCTTCCTCAGGCTGAGGTGAAGGTGCGCATGGATCTGGAGAAGCGACTGAGAGAAGCCGAGGAAGCGTTGCAGAGCTTGGAGCAAGGCTTAAATTCTCTGGATTGCAACAAGGAGAAGGAGGAGAAGATGAAAGCAGATGTCAGTAACTTAAGAAGTAAGTCAGTCACCCATCCTCTATACTGATCAGCAAGCTCTGAGAGAGGAAATATTTCTACCCATCTTCCTAGATGCAAAAAGAAGTTCCCAAATTAGCAAAGCTGCACATAATGTGCTCTCCCAAATCCTTGTACCTCAACCACACCTCCCTTTTGAGGAGCCAGAACATGCTATGCGGGCACTTAGTGTTTTGCCCTCAAAGGAGGGCAAAATTATCCCAGCCTTCGCTGTTGGGTGGAAGACAAACCTAGGGGCAGCAATGAGCAAATGCTTTCCAAAATGTCAAACAGGGAAGCTGTGGCAGAGCTGTAAAGACTGACTAGGTCTGGGTTATAGAGTTTCCTCTGATTTCTCTCAAGATAATCTTTTTCCAGCCTTGGTTATGAGAACATCAGCAGTTTAAGGAGGACCGTGCTTGCTGTAGCAACGTGCTGGTAGGTGACCCAGCAGGTGAAGTTTGGATCCTTACTCAGAGCTGAATCACTGCATCAGCCCAGCACTGCCGTGCTGAGATGACTGCAGTCCGCAGGTCAGGTGTAAGACTCAGGTTCCTCACAGCCTTGCTTTTTTTTTGGTTTTTGTTTTGGTGGGTTTGTTGGTGGTTTTGTTTTGTTTTTGTTGTTTTTGGTTTTTTTTGTTTTTTTTTTTTTTTTTGTAAGATGGGGCATTACCCTAGCATCTGGCTTGAGTCAGGTTTGGGAATTGACAGTAGCAGCTTCAATTTTGGGTGAAGTCTTGCTTGTTTTCCATCCTCAGGTATAGTGCAGGGGGAAGCTGTTATGAAGATGCTGTATCTGTGCAGTTAAGGCTTCGTTTCAGTGAAAGGTGAATGCATTGGGCCAGTACAGAAAAGTCAAAAACTCCTGTGGCATTCTGAGCACTCTTACGTATATAAGTATAAATACGTGTATAAATAGTTTATATATATATATACACACATTTATAATTTATATATAAAAATATATGTAAATAAAATAAGTATTATTCAGTAGTTTCTACATGAGATTTCTAAACTGAGACAAAAGGGCATGAGTCTGAACTTAATCCCACTGGCTCAGAGCCATAGTAAGAAAACAGAGCTAAAGTGGATGTGTTGAGCTCAGCATTCAACTAGAGCTGAGCTACCTGCACAGGGCCTAAGTAACCTCTGGCACTGAATGTCTCCTGACACTTATTTCCAATCTTAGATTTCGGGCGATATTTTCTTCAAAAGAGTAAAAATGTACTGATGAGTAAAACGCTAGAGAAAGTGAGGGACCAGGAATTTTTTCTTTAATGTCAGTCCCAGCACAGATTGCCTCAGTCCTTCCAAGCGATTCCTGCAGCTCTGCCCTGCCCTTTCATGTAAGAGTTGGGGTGCATTAGCATGTGGGTCCTCTTAACAGCAAGGGACCAGTGACAGGCAGGAGGACAGCAAGACTGAATGGCAGAAGATATGCCAGTTAGACCATAAGAGGTGAAATGGGCCAGGAAAAGCAGTTTGTGTGGCAGATCGGGACAAAACAACATTGTCAGAGTTTGGACATGGGGCTTTGCATGGAGCCTGTTATGTATATGTGTATGTCGTAGTATTTGCTATGCTTATTAAGAAATCTCTGGCCATGTATGGCCTGTGTGTATGTGCCCATGCTGGTGTTGCCAACACCACCCTTTCTGCAGTTAGACTTGATTGGTTTTAGAAGTCCTTCAAAGAAAGTGCAACAAGCAAGGCTTCGGACCTCTCTGTTGCAAGAGAGTTGAGAAGTTTTATCATAATATCAGAGGCTTTTGGCAGTTGAATCATGAGCAGTTGTGGGAATGATTGATGGGGAATGGATGGTTGCAGTTCTTTCTATAATTTGAGTATTCATTTGTTGGGGACTGGAGGTTTTTGGCACCTTGAACTTGTTCATTCTGATGGTATTCTGGAGCTTCATGGATTGTTGTTCATGAAGATCTAGGGAGGTGTTGAACGTCGTTACCTGGCTCAGCCCATCAGGGAGTGCAGTCCCTTGCGACTGGTTCATTGCTTGGAGTGTCTCTCCTGTCACTGCTCACAGTGGTGTCTTCTCCTCAGAGTTCTTTGAAGAGTGCATCCGCAATGCTGAGCTGGAGGCCAAGATGCCCGTGATCATGAAGAACTCCGTATACATCCACAAGGCTGCCACTCGTCGCATAAAGAGCTGCCGCTTCCACCGACGGAGAGCCAGTGCTTCATGGAATGACTGTGGGTATTGGGCAGCTTCTTACTCTATATTCTGCAGGAGCAGATGTATGCAGATGGGGCTGACAGAGCAGTGCAGTCTGCAAATGTGGTTCATATTTCATATTCCCTAGTAGTAGAATGGAGCTGCAGAGAAACCTGGAGCTTCCTTACCCAGAGAGCAGGTACTGAGTCTGCGTACTAGTTGCCTGTCCCTTCACAGGCGTTGAAAGGTAATGGCTGAGATGGTTCTGGGCCCCTAAAAAAACATGCTCAAAGCTGACTTAATCTGAACGCTTAATCATAGACTGAGTTAGGTTGGAAGGGACACCTGGACATTGTCCAATCCCATTGAGTGCTCAGAGTGGCTACCTGCAAGGTTAGATCAGGTTCTACGTAGAACCCTAGATCAGAGGCAGCTGTAAAGAAGAAAAGCGTTTCCATGCTGTCTGCATTTTCATCCTCTGAAAACAGTACGGTGAAGCTGTTAGAGTGCAATGGTTAGCTCATCCCTTGCCAGGCTCTCAGTCGTGTTGATCGCATGGCTCGTGTGCTCTAGTGAAGCTTTGTCTTCAGTTTGTGTCCCTGATGGAGAGTGCTGACCTTTCTGTGCTGCTCTTGTTTCAGTGAAGCAGTCCCAGTCCTTCATCTTCTCTCATGCAGAAGCTGAAAGCATTGAGGAGCTGAAAGAAGCAGCCAAAAGACTGAGCCGGAACCAGCACTTCAGGGAAACTGTCTATCAAATCATGAGGTCCCAAAAGGATTCTGCTTCAGGGGACGAAAAGTGACTCTTGTTGGGAGGGGGCTTCTGATCTCAACTTGCCATTCAGCTCTGCAAAAGTTATGCCATCAGGTGTGAGAGTCAGAAGGGAGATTTGCCCTTTGGTGGGGAAAGCGGAGGAAAGTTGCGTGTAGGCGATTCCCTCGGTTAGCGGCTTTGCTTTAGTTTGAATGCTCCCTGTAGCCTGGCAGAACTTCTCTGCTGATCACTCCAGATGTTTGCTTCAGCTGCTTACGTTAAGCCACGTTTTGCCAAGATACCACAGTTGGTGTTAAAGTGAACTGCAGATGTAGCTTAGGAAGTGCCTCTTCTTTCCTTTCCTGTCTAGTCTGCCTGCCAAACACAAGTGCTTCTGAGAAAGCCCTTTAACAGCCCATGCTCCAGCTAGCGTAACCTCCCCCGTCGGACACCACTCACCCTGTTCTGCCTGATCCCCTCTAGGAAATGGCTCGCTGCACACCCCCAGTCAATCAGCACTTTGGTGGGGCATATTTCCTGAAGACCGCAGCATTCCCAGCCTCCCAAGCACAGGTAATAATATCAAACACAGGGCAACCTCTTGTCGCTACATCATTTCAAGCAAGCGGTAGCAACACAAGGTGAAGACAACCTGAGGATGCTGTGGATTTGGCTCCAAGGCGGATCGTGTGCAGCCAAGAGCTTATAGGTAACCATTGATGCAAGCTGGAGGGAGGGTTGCATTGTGTTGACTGTGGGCAGAACATCCTGGGGCCACCTTTGCACTTTTTTTGCTTTGGGACATCTGGCTGTGTCACTGTCAGAAGGAGGAGCAGAGCTATGTGCTGCAGGAGGTGTTGTCTATAGGCAGATCCAGTGTGGAGGAGCCTTTGACTCGGCTCTGATGGCTTCCTCATCACCTCTGTAAAACAAGCTGGAGGACAGGGGAGTGAGGAGTGTCCGGCAACAAAACCCACTACCATGTGGAAAATTAAACATTGTCAGCAGCAAGCTGTCAGGGCTGTGGAGGTGGGGAAAGTCATCTCTGTATGTGCTGCAGCGAATAGCCTGTGTCCAAGGCTTTGTACTGCTCTCTATCAGTCTTAATTGCAATCCAGGCTATCTCGGCCAAACTGGGACCTCTGGCAAGTCAAGGCTGGATTGGGAGAGGCGCTGTGGACAGCCTATTCCGAGGTGGGCTTCTGGCTGGCCTCTGTCCCCTCCCAAGTGCTCACCCTGTGGTTATTGCAGGGGAGGATTTGCCCTGAATCTTGCCATTTTTTATGTTATGGGAGAGGAATGACTTTGTTGAGCAAACCTTGCAGCCTCTCCCACCTATTTTAAGCAAGCAGGTGGCTAATCGTTACCCGTGCTACAGTATCAGCACTGCCTGGTGCTTACCGAGCACACGGCAAGCGCTGTTACCCCCGTGGTATAAATTGGGAAACAAAGGAATAAACAATACAAAGGGGAATGAAGTTAGCAGTAGAGGTACAGTCAGGGCTGAAGTGCAGATTTACTGAGGTTTTCAGGGCTGTGCCCCTCATCAGTACTTCTGTGTATTACATCGGTCCAGTGACACTGGGGTAGCTGCTTACCTGTCCCATGCAGACTGTGACACTGCCCAGTCCCAGGCTTTGGCTTCTGGCCACCTAAGTCGTTCCCTACCAATTCAGTGCTGTTTCTAGGGAGAAATCAGGGATGAGGCTGGGAAGGGAGCCCTGGCTTTCCAGCCAGAGGAGAGGCATTGATGCTGGGTGGAGGAGTGTACTGGGAGGGTGTGATGCTCCTGGAGGGAGTCACTCTGGTGTGACCAGAGGAAAAGCATTGGTGGCACAGCCTGTACTTTCCATTGCAGGCACTTACTGACCAGTATCTTTCTGCCAGGCAATGGGAGGTTTTATGCAATCAGAGGGTCCAGCACTGAAGGCTGACATTTTTGTGATGACAGGTGATGTGATAGGAAAAGAGTATTTGCATTCTTCCTTAGCATACCTGATCCTTCTGTGTTTTTTTTCTACTCGTGCTTGCGTGCTAGAAAGTCACAAATGAATTCTTGCTCCTACAAGGCTAAAGGGCTGTGAGAAAGCAATACAGAGTTGGTTTTCCCTTTTACACTGTCCTCACATCATCTCTGGCTATTTTCCAGTTACAAGGTCTATATTATGTGATGCTGGAAGAGACAGAAAAAAGGACAGCCAGGGAGCATATCTGTAATTCAGGCAGTTAGGAAACTCACCCTGTGGCTTGTGAATGCAGCACCTTTGATCTATTACCATCAAAAGCCACAATATCAGACTTTACAGAAGTATTGTACTCAGGAGGTAGCCACATCGGGTCTTCCTTTACTGTGTATATTGACAGCAATAAATAAATAAAAGTTATGCTGACACTAGAGTGAATTCCTGTGTGTTCTTGATACACTGTCACTGAAATGATGTTAAATTGCTTCTGCAGGAATTGAGACGAATCGTTGTGACAAGCTCATTTACTGCCAGTGCACTTCCTCTGCTTCACTGAGTTGTTGTGTTACGTGCTTAACATCACCTCTCAAAAGGACTGGCTGTATGTAAAATGCTTTCACCCTTGCTACCCACTTGCAGTTTTAAAATGTGAATAAAGTTAAAGCCAGTGTATCAAATCTAAAGAGGAAATCGCCCACTTGCTTACCTGAAGCCAGTGAGCAGCACCCTGTGTGACCAGCAAGGCATGCCCTAAGCCACCTGCGGTGAGGTGCTTGCCATCACTCCTTCCTTGCTGCAGATACTAGTCCTGCAGAGGGATCTACTACCCTGTAAGCTCCCTGGCAGAGTCAGCATGGAGCTGGGCCTATGCACCACAGCATCTTAACTAAGTGACCATCTCCTTATTCTGTTTGAAAAGACACAGAATTACTGATTTCAATGTTGCCTGTGTATTTTTAATGCAACGGAGTAACAGGAAGATGGCTTAGGGAGCAACCCACCTTGTTCAAATAACCTTCACTAGTAATCCTGGGTCAGAGTGCTTTCTCTTACTGGGAAAACTGGGAATGAGATGAGAACTCCCTCCACTGAGGAGAGTTCCCTAAACTGTCCCCTTGTGTCTGAGGATAAGAGAAGATATAGGATTGTTTGCACCTCTAAGATTTCTCTTCAGAAGTTGCAGAACAGCTAGACTGGGTCTGAAAAGCCTGTGGCCATTCTTCCACCACCTCCACCTTCTGGCTGTCATCTGGGAACTTCTCTTCCCTCTGAAGACTTTCCTTGTTGTCCCCTTCAGAGACACTTTAAAATACGGTTTCACTTGTAGATACTGCCAAACATAAAGCCTGCTGATCCTCTTCTGCATCATCTTGCCTGCTTTTCACGGTGTGAATGGTGGCTCCCGCTAAGATCAGTTTAAGGGTTAATTTCATCTTCTACATAAGATGCACGAAGCCTCCAGGCTGTTTCACTCACTGCTGTAGAAGAGTGGCTTCAGCTGAAGGGCCGGGCCTTGGTGGCTCCCCTAG